ACGCTGAGCGCTCGTTCGTGGTAGAGCGAGATATTGGCATCAGTGTCGGCGTGGGACCGTGCCAGGGCGGCAACGCGGTGCTCCAGCTTCGCTGCTGGTGCTGCCCACTGCTCTTCATTCTCAGCCGCAGGGCCTACCGTACAGCCGAGGTACTCAAGCGTAGGGCCAACCTTGAATTCGGCCCAAGGTGCACACACGGAGGCTAGCATCTCGGACGTCGGGGCACTGAGATCGTCCGACCACGGTGCCCAAAGAGGGGTGGCACAGCATTTCGAGGGCTTTAAAGCGAGGCCTGCCAATCTGTCCGAGTTCTTGAAAATCCTAGCCAGCCCCCTGAGGCCAGCCTTCCCCCACGCCACCGCCCCCGCGTCGTCCGCACACCACCTCCCGACTCCCTTGCCGGCGGCCTCGAGGGTGCGCTCCATATCCGCGCAAAACGGATGAGCCGCTAGGACGAACAGACTGCCAGAAAGAGGATCGCCCTGGAGGACCCCAGCAAGGATGAGGAAGAGGAGGCCACGGGAGCAGTCGGAGCTAACGGCGGCAGCCATAAGGCAGTTGGCGCGGATCGCATTCACCAGGGCCTCAGGGGCGCCCCATTGGGACAGGACCTCCCAGAGCCACGAGTGGGCCACCGAGGGGAAAGCATGAGCATAGTCAAAGGCAAGAAGCAGAGGCGAGGCAAAGTCACGTGGTGGGTGATTAAGAGCACGCATGCTTGCGATTCTCGCGTGACTGTCGAGCTCAATTAAATTCTCGAGAAAGTGACGTTCACAGATGAATCCGCGCTGGCTGGGCGCCACTGCCGCTTGCACCGCTCTCTTCAGAGGGTGGTTCAGGGCGGCGCTGATCGCCTTGGCCCCCGCATTGCGCAGCGACAGCGGGCGCGTGCAGCCAGGGGCACGCGAGACGCTCGCCATGTCGGCCGCCAGCGAGCCCTTCGGGAGGAAGATGCTGATCGCATGGTTGTAGTCCGAGCGCATGGGCAGGCCATCCAGCGCCCGCACCAAGGCGCGGTGGAGAGCCTCAGCGCCGCCCTCGGCCACAGCCCAAGCCGCGGCTGGGAGTCCGTCAGGGCCAGGGGCCGCAGGGCGCGCACGGCGGAGGGCCTCCCGCACTGTCGCCACTGCGGGCGGGCAGAAGGCGTCCCAGTCGACCGCGGGGACCCCGAAGCGCTTCAGGTAGGCCGGCTGCTCTCGGGCCCTCTGCTTGGAGATTGCAGGTGGCGTTGGCGGGCAGAATACCTTGCCCCAGTGCTGGCCCAGCGCCGCGTTTATGTCGGCGGCTTCGGTCAGCTCGGTGCCCTCCGTCTCCAGGCACGCGAGGTATCGCCGAGCGTTGAAGGAGGCCCATAGTCGCGCCCGTCGCCTCAGAGCCCGCTGCTGAGCCACGAGCTGGCGCCGTCGGCATTCAGCAGTCTCCTGCTGGGCTGCCTCTTCAAGGGCGCGGCGCTTGCTCGCAGCATCCTTCCTCTGGGCGATGTTGTATCTCCTCTGGAACTCCGCATAGTCAAGGATCTCAACCGAACGAGACTGCGCCGAGGCTTTGACCAGCTCACGAGCCCAGGCGTTCTGCGCCACCACCAGCTGCGCCAGCTTCCAGCCCTGGCGCCAGAACGCCCTGGCCAGTTGGCGCCAGATGATGGCTGAGGCCCCCTTGGTCCAGCCTTCGGCCACGAGGATCTCGTTCTGGACGTCCTTGGCCGCTGCCTGCAGGATCCGCGTGAAGTACTTATATTCGTCGGGTGGCTCTTGGCTCTGCAGAGGGGCCATCGCCAGGCACCCGTCAACGATCTCCTTGAAGCGCGGCCGCTGGATCACGGCAAGGGGGATGGCCGCTGGTGTGTCAGGGCGTCGGTGTCCAGGTGTCCTCCGCATCAGCGATGCTGCGACCAAGGAGTGATCGCTAATCCCTCTGATGTGCATCTCTGCGCGCTTCGCCTCGGACTTGACATGTCTGCCAGCCTTGGCATAGCTGCCGCCTCGGGACCCCCGCGAACACGCGGTCGATGGAGGAGCTGGTGCGCGTGCTGGCGTTCCAGTGCGTTGGCTTGCCTGGCATCATCTCCGTGGCCTCCCGCAGCGCCTCCAGCCACTGCCGCTGTCCAGGGTGGCGGGCCAGACGTGCGGTCTGGCCAGAAGCGGGAGCCGCGTGTGCGCGGCCGCCACCGCCATTGCTGGTCTGCGCGACTTGCGCCTGCTGGGGCTGGTCGTCATCCAGGAAGTTGTCTGTCTCGTCATAGTCGCCGAAGTTGAAGTCACCCACGATGAAGGTGGAGCGGGTGGCAGGGCACTGGTGTGCCCAAGCCAGGTCCTGTCGAAGGCGTTGGGCGACGCGTCGCCGTTGTTCAGGTGAAATATCGTGGTTGTGGATGTTCCAGTGGATGAAGCTGCACGGCTGACTCCCCATAGCCGCGGGGCGAACTTCACCACAGAGCCTGAGAATGCGGCCAGGGACCACTTCCTCAGGAACAAAATCGCAGGCGTAGCCATCAGCAGCTGCTGGCACCACCGTGGCCACACCTCCTGCATCTTCTCGACCTCCTGTCATACACGAGGCAAAGCAGCAGAATGGTCTCCCCAGTCGCTCCAAGAGTACATGCATGCTATGTACGGAAGCATGCGTCTCCTGCAGCGCCAACAACATTGGCCCCTTCCAATGTCGCTGAATATATGCAAGCTTCTTCTTCTTGATCTTCATGGTGGCATTCTTCCCAGACTGCTTCAGCGCCCGACAGTTCCAGGTCCCCAGGTGCACACCATCTCCGTCACCTCCCCACGCACGCGATATAGTGTCAAAGAGTCCACGGCTGCGCCTCTGGCTCCAGGACACGATCCACCACCGCCTGCAGGGCTTCCTGTGTCTGGCCGATCGCGCGCACCGCCACCATGTTCCACGAGACCGTCGGCGTGGCACCAGGTGACGCAATGGAGAGCTTGAGCAGCTGGCGCCATTTGACCGTGATGGCATTGACTTCCTTGTCTGCGAAGAGTCGTGTTTCGATCGTCTCTTGAAGGGCGGCCTTGATACGCTTGAGGTAGATCTCATGTGAGATTTGGGACTGGTTGCGGTCGCGGCCCACGCTGAGGGAGACGCTTGGGCCATTCGGCAGCACTGCAGCGAACTCTCTCCACGTAGATGGGCCTGTGCGAGGGAGGCCCACGAGCTTTCCCACACGCCTCGTGGCCAGGCCCACAGCACCCACACAGCGGAGCTTGAAGTGTCTCCCCATCTCCTCTCCCTCCAGCCTTGTCGCCTCTGGGGTGAGGTTGTGCAGCTCGGCGTCCACCAGGAGCTGCTGCAGCGCATGCGCGACCGCCTCCTTCGGAACGTTCGAGCGCGCCACGATGGACAGGATGGTGGGGTCGATGGGCCTGGACCAGCCCGTCTCCAGCATCGGGGCCTGCGGGGTGGCCGACGCCACGACTCCCATCTCTGTGCGGAGGTCGGCCATCTCTTGCCGAAGGCGGCCGAAGTCTGCCATCCGCTGCTCCATGCATCCCAGGCGCGAGTCCACAGCAGCGAAGCGGGCGTCGATGGCCTGGGCGAACTCCTGCTGGGTGGACTGGAAGATCTGCGAGAGGTTGTTGGTGGTGGACTGGATCTGGGAACCGAGACGGCGTTCCATGTTGGCAAGCATGCTGGAGAGGTTCGCCGAGCCAGCGGCGGCGGCATTAGCTCCTCCTGCTGCAGGCGGTGGGCCGAAGCGTTGTGCGGCCGCTGCCGCCCATGCGTCCTGCTCGCCATGCTGCGGTGGCTGCTGCGATGCGAAGGTCGGCATGAGCTCGAGCGCCTCGACGTCGCCCTCGGAGAGCACCGTGCCACGCGGAACTCCCGCAGCAGCCCCTCCCTCCGCATAGCCGCCAGCTCGGTTTCCTTGGGTAGCGTGCGGCGGGGTGGGGGGCACCACATCCCAGCCCGAAAGGCGGGCGTCGTGCAGTCGACGTTGGCGTGGCGTGGCCTCCTCACCGGCGGTGGCTTGCTGTCGTCGTTCCCTGCGACGTTCACCACGGCGGCGATGCTCGCTGCGGGAGGTGCTCCTGCTGCCCCCAGGAGGATGAGGAGGAGGAGGAGCAAGGGGAGGCGGACGAGGAGGAGAAGGAGGAGAAGAAAGGGAGCAGGATGAGGAGGCGGTTGGTTGCGAACCGAATGAACTGAGGTTCGCACCCCCCGCAAAAATCACCGAGCACGAGCCGGGGCCTAACCGGAGGGATTGGAGTAGCAGGCGGCGGCCGGAGGAGAGAGGAAGGGAGAGGAACACTGGCAGCGTCAAAGAAATATTGTAAGCGAATCGCTCATGACGTGATCGCGACCGTTGCGATCCGAATCGCGCAGACCATCACGCACAGCACAGTCTCCCTCCGGAGATCCGCCGCGTTCGGTAAGGCCGTGCAGCGCGAGGAGGGAACGCAGAAGAAAGAGCAAGAGGAGCAAGAGGCTGCGCCGGGCATGAGAAGAAGAAAGAGCAGGAGGATCAAGGGGAGCAAGAGGGGGGACGACCCAGTCAAGGCATCTTCGCCGGCGCACTGGCAACTGTTCAGCGAACGTTCCGGTCTCATGCCCACTTCCCGTAAAGAAGACGCCAGGTCTGGTGGGCCAGGCTCCCGGCGGCCGAAGAAGGTGGGCGAGGATGAGGGGTACTGGTCTGGGCCATCTCCGCACCCCTGATATGGCCAGGACTCGCACAGTTCCACGGAGAGGGGAACTGCATACCGCTCTTTGGGGTAACCACCTGGCCAGCCGTGGCAGGACGCTGGCGCCAGCGTCAGTGGACCTCGTCGGCGGGTACACCGCAGAGATCTTCTGGGCATTCGAGACGCTGTAACGCCCACGACGCTGGCAGCACACATTTCCACATAGCAAGCACATTCAACATTGGTCGAGTGGGCCATGGACGGCTCGGGAAGAGGAGGAGAGGATGAAGAGGATGAGGAGGAAGGCCTTGGCCAGTCTGGGAGGAGGCATGTGAGGAGCAGGACGACATGGACGACGACGGGGACGTCAAGCTCTCCGAGCCAGGCCAGGTCGTCCGCCCAAGTGCTCACCACGAGCTCCACCGCGCCCGCCGCGGCCAGGCTGACAGTGCCGTTGCCGCACCTCTCTCGGAGGCGTCGCCGCCGCCAACGACAATCTCAGCGTCAACGTCGTCGTCACCGCCGCCGCGGCCGCCAACGTCGACGTCAACACCGTCTTCGCCGCCGCCGTCGCCGACGCCGTCGCGGTAGCTGTCGCCGTCACTGTCGCCGTCGCCGTCGTCGTCGCCGCGCCGCCCCCGCCGCTGCCGCCGTTGTCGTCGTCGTCGCCATCGTCGTCGTCGTTCGCGTAGTCGTCGTCGTCGTCGCCGCGCCGCCGCCGCCGCCGTTGTCGTCGCCGTCGTCGTCGCCGTCGTTGTCGTCGTCGTTGTCGTCGTCGGCGCCGTCGCCGGAAGGAGCACGTCGTTGCTCGTGTTCGGTTTCGGGCAGCGAGGCGATGGTCCCCCGTTGGATGGGCGATCTCGCGCTGGCCAGACGTCGTCGTTTTCATCCGCCTCCTCTTCCTCCTAATTCTCCTTCTCCTCTTCCTCTTCCTCCTCCTTCGAAGTTCCATCATATCTCCCCTGTTACATCCGTTTCCGCATACAACACCCTGTCCAGAGACAGCGCGCTGGCCCAATCAGTGACGGGCTAGCCGCGGCCGAGACCACGACGAGACGACGTCGTAGCCAACCAGCTGGGCATTAAACAACTGTTGTCGACTGAAATAAGGCTAGAAAGACGACGGCCGTCATATCATCATCCTGCCAACATGGCAGCCTCAGGTTCCAGCGCATCCCAGTCTGGGCTGTGTTTCCTGTTCCACTGCCAACTTCCTCGACAAGACCACGTGCAGAGCGCGCGATGCTACCATACTGGAGAATGGTGGCGGCAAGGGTGCAGACTATATCCGACGTGGCAAAGGGAAGGGCACAGGAAAGGGGCAAGCTGCGGCGGCGGCTCTTGCAAAGCCCGACCTGAGCAAAGTTCCTCGTCCTCCACCTCCTGCTCTGCCTCCTCCTCCTCCTCCTCCTCCTCCTCTGCCTGGTGTCCAGGGTCCTCCTCATCGTGCTCGTACGCTGCGAAGGCCTTCGGGAGGCAGAGAGAGGTCACTGACAACGACATTGTGCGACGAGGCGGGGACAGAGCATGAGGTCGTTACGTACAGTCACGTCCAGCATCATCCCAGCCCTGCCGTCACATGCGAGGATGCACATCGACTTCTGGGTGAACTAGGTTCAAGTGCTTCAGCCGCCATGCGAAATGAGTACATCTCAGACTGCCGCAACCAGCTTCGCATCTTGGCAGGTACCATCAGCGCGAGAGAGCGAGCTGGGGAAATTGCACATGAAGAAAGGTCTTGGCATACTGCAGTATTGACAGGTGCACATCTTTTCAGACCGTGCGATCAGCAAGTCTCGAGTCAAGATGCTGCCCTCAAGCGTGCAGTTGCCAGACAAGAAACATTACAAAAGAAGATCGAGGACACGAACAGGGTGATTCGACTCGAGGAGCAGGCCGCGTTTGCCAGCGAATGGGTAAAACGCCACCAGGCTGCCTACGACGGGATCTCAGCTACAGCGCCGCCCTCAGGAGATGGAGCTGGCAGAGGACGCGCACGACAAGGAGCACGACGCACGACACGAGCAACGGCCTCAGATGATGCAGCAATCTTTGCCAATTGGTCTGGTGCTCCCTCAGTCTCGGCCGGCAGCCAATCCTGCGACACGGGCTGCATTGAAGCTGCAGGCTGGGGAGTTGGCCGACATGCGACGACAGCTGGAGCCTCTGACACACACCATTCCATCACGTCGGCATCGAGCGGCACTGGCCCGAGCAGAGCACGACGCGCCAGGGACGGTGCTCGCAGGCCCCCCCCGCACCAGGCGCTGCCGTGCCTCGGCCTGCCGCAGCCGCTCGGGCTGCGGGCGAACCCTCGCGCCCCCCACCCGCGGGCAGCACCGAGCGCGCCGCCTGCTCAGGGGCTGTGGAAAAAACACAGCCTGTGGGAAAAACACACAGTCTGTGGGAAAACACACACAGTGTGTGTGTGTTTTTCCCACAGTGTATGTTTTTTCCCCACAGTGTGTGTGTGTGTGTTGTGTTTTTTCCTACAGACTGTGTGTTTGTGTTCTTTCCCACAGCTTCAGGCCAGGCTGCCGAGCGTGCTGCTCGGGAGTCTGCGGCCGCTCGCGATCGCGGGTCCAGGAGCCAGGGTCGGCTGCCGTCGGCGCGCGAGCAGGCCAGGGAGACACGGACGACGACCTCGACGGTGGTGCGCGACAGGGGCGCCAGGCTCGCGAGGGGTAGGAGGTACAGCCACTCCGACCGGTGAGCCCGAAGATCGGAGTGATCGTTTTTTCGCACGCGCTGTCAGGTCCGACCGCGTGCGCTGATTCCCTGGCAATCGCCTTTTACCCGCTGGTGGTTAAGGCAAGCTCTATGATTTTTTAGCCGCTACATCGGATGATCTAGAATACCTACAGCTCTTGGCAATATACATTCTACTAGTGCTTCTAGGTCTATCTTGGTCCCCCCCCCCAAGATCGGAAACAGCATCATGCACGTCTATGGGATGCAGATATTCCGGCGATGCAGTCTGCAACCAGTTCACACCAGTAAGCCTGACTGCCTGGTCGAGGCGCTCAGCTAGCTCTGTTGGCCACTCGTGGTTTGCAAAAAGCATGCGCAGGCGGCGGGATCATCACAATGCTGACTTTTCGCTGATGCGATGACTGCATGCTGCATGGTTATACGAGAGCTCGTGTTCAAGACGGACTTTCCCTCGCAATAGCTTCAGACCTTGTTGAAACTAGCTGGCCTTCTCGAATTGTATCTCCCTCTGCTGGCCCAGGGACTACAAAGAGCTCCCGTCTCTGCATCGGCAGGAGTGGGATGATCACCTCGAGGCTATGGTGGAAAAGGCTTATGGGATGGGCGCTTTCAGCTTCCTCGGGCTACACTCGTATTACTGTGACACTTCGGAACACGCGTCCTGGGACTCCGTTTGCGGACGCGGTTTCCCGGTGTATAACTGCAGAAGTCACGAATCATGCTGCGCGCGAACAATCAGACATTGGTCTCATGTTCGCTTGTGCCATGCCCGGTAGCAGCCCATTCGATGCTGACGGGGCAGGACAGGGGCTGGCTCTTCCCAGCGTGGTATGTGCTGGCGAGCGTTTGTTGACTCGGCGTTTCGACATTGTGCGGAAGGGTGGGGGACGGGGGGGGTCTGGCTCTGGACCTTTGCTTAGTGCGACTGTTTGCAGCAGTGCGTCCATCATGGGGGAAGCTCCACTTGCTCGAAACAGGCGCCCAAAACAGCCAAAATCTACTCCATATGGGGGGGGGATGGGGGGTGCAAGGGCCCGCGCCGATCGGCAACAAAAATGAATAAAAAACTATCATCAGATGTCTTCCCGGCGTGGTATCGGCTGATGATTCGCTGTTTGCAGTGCTCGCCCAGCTCGCAGCTGTGCAAGAGAGTCTCCAGGATTTGCGCAGGCTTGGTGCCCAAATCGTACGCCATCGTTGGCCTGGCTCCTCCTCCTCATCCTCCTCCTCATAGTTGCATCTAGTTGGCCCTGTGTCCACTACATATTGGAAGCATGTCTTTCATAACCTTGACAAGCGGTTCCATGTTCGTCATCTGCTTTGTGGGGGTCATGATGTCAACAATGTGCGATCTGCAATTCAATGTGGATCGGTTGTTAATGGTCGTGCGTTGCTAGGCCCTGAGCTGGTTCGCCGGGAAGCTGATTCAAGGGCACAGCTTTCAGTTCTGAGCAAGGCAGGGCCTCCGAGAGGGCCGCGACGATTTCAGACACCCCAAAGCTGACCCTAACTGATCCCCTGGTGTTGAACTCGGTGTGGTACGGAGCAAACGCATGGTATACATTGCTTGGCAACGATGTTGTCCGCATTCGCCCCCGGTATGTTCGACGGTACAGACGTGTCCACCGCCTTCTACGTTTCGATGCAAGAGAGCCGTCAGGAGATGAGACTAAAGCTTCTGTGCTTGGACCTTCTGACCTTGTCGTGCAGATGGCGGCACGCCTGCGCTGATTTGGTCAGGTTCTGGCGGCAGTACCTGCACCTCTTCTAGCGCTGCCGCATGCTGAATACGTCAAGGCTCGCAAAAAAAGCCAGGAATAACTCCTGGATGCATCAGATTCTGGATGAGTTTGTTTGGCTGCACTTTGTCACCAGAGGTTCCAAGACATGCCCCTACTGTCTAGGGATCCAGGTGCGTGGGTCACCAATGTGACATCTTCCCGTGGCGCGCGGCTACGAGCTATTCAGGAGGCTACTACGGCTACTAATGACAAGGCAAGGAGAGACCCCGAGGGCTCGAAATGAGGGAGACGGCTCCTGACCCTCCTCACCAGTGAAGGCCCCCCTTATCCAAGAGATATTCCTCCTACCCTTTGGTTGTGCCTCCCGTTAAAATGCCATTATTGCGTTTCTACCTGAAGAAATGCGCTTTCCTTCGATTCTCATATCCGAACTTTGCATACCACACTCTCAGGCATTGCAAGAACGCGCGCTTCTGGCAATCGGAGCCTAGCCCGACTTAGAATTTGGAGTCGAGGTCAATGCTGATCAAAAATGCGACGACCTGGCGTCCCGCTTGTTCGGTTTTAAAATGTCACCATGTTCCGCCTCTGGCTCCGGAGGTTGTCCAGGAGCTGGCAGAACAAGAGAAACAAGAAAACAAAGATAACTTCAAGAAAGGCTTCTCAACATCCCATGCTTCCGTTCCCTCATGAAGTCGCCGCAGGGTCCATTCACCCGGCAGGCAGGATGTTCCAGGCCATGTGTTTACGGGACCAGGCTCAAAATAATGCTCATTGTATATTGAGGCACATCACTGGGTGGTCACGCAGGATACAAGAAGATGTTCCTTCTGAGCCCCTGTCCCCCCAATCGGTTGAGGGCTGGTCCAGATGAGTATATAAGGATGTTAGCATACCAACCACCTTGCACACTGCATCGCCGGAGAGCTTTTATGGCCAACCTCTTCTGCGGCCAGCGTAGTTCGGAGGGGGAGACCCCGTGCCAAACTGATCGGTAGATCGGTGGAAT